TATACATAATAGTATATAAGCATAGTATCTATTTCAAAAGTAATGTCTCACATAAGATTAAATTAAAAAATATTGCTTATATTATACTTTTCTCAATTTTCAAACATTTTCTGTCTCACATACTTAAATAGACAAATATCTAAAATATCTGTTTTATGAAATCTAAGAAAACAAATGTTTTAATATAAAAACTTTTTTTTTTAACTGGCTTTTCTCATTACTACTATCACCACAACTTCTACTGCAACAAATACAACTACTTCTTTAAATATTATGATTTCTACCACAAAAAAATACCACTACTTTAACTACTACAACTACTACTATTACGACCTCTGCTAGAAATCTTGGTTTCACTTTTGATAAATCCTTAAAATTAGATAAACAAGTTAGTTCTGTCGTTAAATCAGGTTTTTATCACTTGTGGATTTTAGCAAACGTTAAATCTTATTTTAGTTTTAAGGACTTTGAAGGACTTGTCCATGCCTTGGTTACATCTCGTTTGGATTACTGCAATTCATTATATAAAGGCACGGATAAATCACAGATGCAGCAACTTCAGATGACCCAGAATGCAGCATCACGGCTCCTTACAGGAACCAGGAAGCATGACCATATAAGGCCTTTACTGGCATCTTTACATTGGCTGCCTGTTCTTTATCGGACAGACTTTAAGGTTCTTTTATTAACTTAAATCTTTAAATGGGCTAGCCCCCCCCCCCCCTTCTTATCTTCGGGATCTTTTAGGATTTCGGCCCGTGCCCACAACCCTACGATCAAATAACCAGTTATTACTGACAGTTCCTCGGACTCGACTTAAGAGGAAAGGAGATGAGGCTTTTTCTGCTGCCGCTCCTATTTTCTGGAACAACTTACCTCTCCAGATTAGATCTGCCCACAGCCTGGATCATTTTAAATCGCTTCTTAAAACTCATTTTTTATTCTTTGGCTTTTAATTGAAGTATTGTTTGATACTCAGTTTTTATTATTGTCGTTCTCTCTGTGCAGCACTTTGGTCCAGTTTTATACCTGCTTTTAATGTGCTATATAAATAAATTGGACATGACATGACTTCTACAACAAATACTACAACTTCTACTACAACAACTACTTTAAGTAGCGCAACTTCTACTAAAACTACATCTTCTACTACCACTACTAATACTCTTAAATATCAGGTTGTGTACACGCAAAAACAAGGATCAGGCACAAAAACTACAGAATTTGGAAGTGAAAGCAACAAATTTATTTGCAAAAACAGAATATGCTGATGTGGCAGCTGAAAATGTACTTAAAGTATTTACGAAGAAAAACTTCAGAACACGGGAAGACAAGACTGACTTTGGGAAGTACGATGAAACGACATGACAGAAAACTGGAGACAGATTTTAAAGAGCTACACTTCTGAGCAGACAACAAACACCTGGGCAGAGAAGATCAGGTAAATGTGGGCGGGGCCAGAGCAGAGACTAAATTAATCTACTAGAACTGAATATAAAATGTTTATTTTAAAATTAATTACCTTATAGGATATTGTAGCAACCTAAAAATGCGTTGCATTATTTGTGATTTTTTTTCCCTTTAAATGTCCTCAGGTTGACATTTTATATAGTTTAGAAAGGATTTTTGTTAGAATAAAATAGAATGAGTATGGATTAGAAACAATACATAAACATTATAGAAATCCAGACAACTGTNTTAATTAAATTTTAGGCCCTCAATAAAATAAACAATCAATTAAAAAAATAAATTTAATAACTCACTGACATCTAAAACACTGCTTTATCTTCTCTAACTTATGAATAGCACTATCTTAGTAAGAAGTAAAATGTGTAGTCGTCCTCTCTGAGCTGCAGAGGAGCAGAGAGGTATAAAATGTAGAAAAAGTGCCAGTTTAACTTGAGTTTTCCCTCCCTGTTAGGGTTCAAGTAGCTCAGTAGGAGGCGCTGTCGCTCTGCCTGAAGCGCTCATTCAGTGGAGCAGCTTCTCGCGCGAAAACAAACCCATGCAGGTATTAAATGCACGGCCACACATTTGACTTAATAAGCCAGCGCAGAGCCGCCTGCTGACTGGAAATGTGTTCTGATTTCCAACCTGACCTGACAATTGACCCTCAAATTACAAAGGAAGCCCCAGTAATACCTTCAGACTGAAGCAGGATTGACTAATTTGTATGGAAGCGTGTTCGACTTTGTTATGCAAAGTGGTGCAGCTTGTAAACTGATGACAGCGCTGTGCTCCTGTCTGATTTGTAATGAGGAAAACAAGGCTGACACGTGGGAAGCCCAAAGGGGTGTTCTCTTTGTAGAGTCCTGCAGGTAAACTTAGGAATTCATCCGCCACAGCTAAAACGTTTTATTACCTTTACAATAACTTCGACGCATTACATCCACATATGGGAGCGTCCAGAGAAACTCGATAACCGTCCTGGTGGGAATCTCTTAAATGTTCATCCAAATATAATCCAGTATTATTGGTTTTTGAACATGTAATAAAAAAAATTGTGTTTTATTGGATATTCTCTTTTCTTCTTTTTTTTGTTCTGCTTTATGGACAGTGTTTTGTATTAGCTGCAGGATCAGAGATCACTCAGAGGGCAGGGGCACAGAGGAAAATCATAAAATCATGGAAATCTCTTTCCGTGAGAAAATTCCATTAGCTCTGGCTCACCTCCGAGCTCGTTTTATTAGTCTCGTGGAAGATTGAAGCCACATGATGTCACAAGCATAACCATGGTTTGATGTTATCTTTGATTCCCCACCTGGTAAAGCCATTGTGCCCCCCTCCTTTACTTTCTTCTTTTCTTTCTCTTTTATAACGTTCCTTGTGATTAATTGCTCGTCTTTGCTTCACCCCTCCGTTCTCTCTGACCGCTTGGCCTGGGCCACCCCCCCTCAGTGAGTGAGCACTCTGAAGTGGAGAGACTGGAGGACCTTCACAGAAGAAGAAATGTTCTCGCAGCCTACTGCAAACTTATAGTGCACGGAGTGCTGGAGATGAGTGCGGTGGCTGAGATCTACATGTACTACATGAAGGTAATCCCATGAAAACCAAGCAGTGCAGCATTGTTTGCTTTCTTGCAGTAAGATTTTTGTAAAAAAATATATAATATATACTGTATATATACATATACAGTATATATT